TGATCCAGTTGTGTTGCATTTTTTCATGTGAACTTATACACTTGGAGTCGGGCTTTCTAGATAAAGTATCCTGCCTTTTACCAATTTTATTGATGGGTTCGCTTCCACAATTTTCATATCATTTACGGAAGCGCTGTTTTGAACAGCTATGTGAGTTATCCAAATTACCTCATTGGGTGTTCAGTTTGGATGAAAAGATGAAACGTGACTTTCTGATTACAATAAGTCTTACCTTGAGTAATTTTCGAGTTGTCTCTGGTGATATTCAAATTTTATTGATAGAGACACTCTATCGACTTGGTTGCTATTCTTCGATGCACAATCTTTTTGAAAGCCTTTGTACATCGAAGCTACTTAAAAGTGTTGCGTTCCATGCAAAACAAGAAAACAATGCATCTCTTGCAGCTTGTGCTTCGGTTGTTTGTGAGTTTGTTCTCAATCATTACGAAGATTCTTTTGGTTTTTTAATTGAAGCAAATGTACCTCAAGAGCGGGGTGATTTATTGACTATGAGCAGTTATCATCGATCACTTGAAGTCCTCTGTCAACAACAACGACCCGAAAAGCTTTCTGAGATGGATTGTTTTCATGAAAAGTTCTTGTTAGCTACCCAAGAACAACGCAAGTCATTGGGAGTTCAAAATGTTATCCATTGTGTATCAACGGAAAAAAAGGCAAGTTTAGATATTTGGGATCCTTTGATGAGAGACTCTCGTAAATGGAACAACTGGTTACAAAATCGAACAAAGATGGTCCGCAAGTTGGTAATGTATGGAATTCCCATGCAAGTTCGTGCTTTGGTTTGGAGAAAATTATTAAAGACTGATCAAATGATGCTAAAGTATAGGGGTATCTTTCATAAGCTTGTAAAGGCCAGAAGACCTAAGGAAGTAGATGATGTAATTGAACGCGATATTGTGAGAACGCTTCCATCGCACCATATATTTTGGAGTTTCGGAGCAGCTCCTGGAATAGAATCCCTTCGCTCGATATTGCTAGCATATGCAGCGTTAGTTCCTCAAGTTGGATATTGTCAAGGAATGAGTAGCATTGCTGCCATGATTCTTCTGTTTTCTTGTGATGTAGAGGAAGCTTTTTTAAATTTTGTATATATGATGGATACTGTAGGCTTTCATGATTTATTTTATCCCGGATTTACAATGTTGAAAACCCGAGTTGCAGAGTTTCATGGTATTGCCCTATTTTATTTTCCACAACTCATGAAACACCTGACTGTAGAAGGCATTCATCCTATGATGTTTGTCGACAAATGGTTCCTTACAGCATGTATATATAACTTTCCATTTGCTTTGGTTGTTCGTTTATGGGATATCATGCTTACTTACAGTCACACTAAGATAATAATGCGTGCTGGTTTGGCTATATTAGAGATTGGAAAAGACCGAATGATGCAAATGCAGTTTGAAGAGTTGATACAGTTTGTGCAAAAGGGTTTTAGCGATCCAGTTCATGGAGTTGTAGGAGATGTGGATTATTTTATTGAGAGAGCTATGGCCTTTCGTTTCAAACGAAAACGAGCCGCTACATTGGCAAGACGTTCCGATATTATGGAACAGGTTGATATGGGTCGAGGGACTGTTCTGAGTTGTTTTCCTAATTCTCAGATGGCAAAATATTCACAGACACGACCACTTGAATTGTTGGAAAAGTGGATTGCACGTTCTTCATAAAGTGAAAATACCGGGTTATCCTTGTCTAACTAACAAGTTGCCTTTATTTGGATATATCCACTGAAACGAGAAGGAACTTTGTGTTGAATAACAGGCACTTATAAGGGTTTATGGTAACTCACGGTCCTTGTACACTATTCCTCTCGAGCTGCTAGAGACTTTTCCAAGTCTTTGAATAGCTTCTACAAAAGTTTTCAACCGACTCTTTCTACCACCACAAAGCACCTTACCCCTTTATTGTAGGTTTCCCATACATAATCGGAAGCTGCACCCATAAACTTAGTTGCTGCAAAGCCTCCAATAACCAAAAACGTGACATAGACAGAATTTCTTCTCATCGTCAAGTTATACAATGTTTCCCGTAACCCTACTGCAAAACCTGTCCTTCTTGTCATGATCGAACCACCACCACCACCCACAACAAGCCAATAATTTATCAAACTCCAATATTTATCCAAGACAAGTCCATGACAAGTTGTGTTGGCTTACAATCAAACGATACTATCGATCTTCTACTACACGTCGATGCAACTTGGAACAAAGCAAGAGCAACAACTTTTCAACTTCCACACGGTAAAGTTGAGACACCTGTGTTTATGCCCGTCGGAACCCAAGCATCAGTAAAAGGTCTTACTAGTGAACAACTTGACGAAATCAATTGTCCTATAGTATTAGGAAATACTTTCCATCTTGCTCTAAGACCAGGTGAAGAAACATTGGATCAACTAGGCGGCATTCAAAAGTTTATGAGTTGGCCGAGATCAGTGCTTACAGATTCTGGTGGTTTTCAAATGGTGAGAGTTTATGAAAACTGTTGTTCCCATTGCTGAAGTTTGTAGGTCTCCTTATTGGAGCTTTCAAAGCTTACCGAAGAGGGTGTATGGTTTCAAAGTCCTGTAATGTTGTTGTACTCCAAAATATATTTTGTGTTTCTGATGAGTTCTTATAGATGGATGGAAAAGATATGCTTCTGAGTCCTGAGAGGAGCATCGCTATTCAAAATAAGATAGGTGCAGATATCATCATGGCGTTGGACGATGTAGTGAGCAGTACAACTACTGGACCTCGAGTTGAAGAAGCAACATATCGAACAATTAGGTGATGAATGAACGAATGAATGATATCTTGGAACTAAACCTTGCTCTAGATGGTTGGATAGATGCTGGAATGCACATGGAAGAAAACATGACCAAGCATTATTCGGTATTGTTCAAGGTGGTTTGGAATCGAAGTTGAGAGACGTTTGTTTGGAAGAATTGGTGAAAAGGGATCTTCCGGGGTTGGTTTGTGGTGGATACCTTGAGGATGATTGACATATGTATCCGTAGATATGCTATTGGAGGATTAGCTGGTGGGGAAGATAAGAAACTTTTTTGGAAAATGGTTAATCAATGCACCGACAAGCTTCCCAAGAACAAGCCTCGTTATTGTATGGGAGTAGGATATCCTGTAAGTATTATTTCTCGTCGTTGACTTGATAAAAAAGGATCGAAAAAAAAGAGAGAGAGAGAGAGTATGTATCATACAACTAAACTATATGTTAGGTTGATTTAATTGTCTGTGTAGCAATTGGAGTAGATATGTTTGATTGTGTCTATCCAGCAAGAACTGCAAGGTTTGGAACCGCGTTGACTTGGGATGGAACAATAAAAATCAAGTCATCCTCCATGATAAGAGATTACGGTCCATTAGATAGACAATGCTGTTGTAAAGTTTGTCAACAGTATAGCCGCTCCTTTTTGCATAACAATTTTGTAAGTTAGCCAGTTTCGTATTGGGGAAGTTGTTCTAAAGGGAATATTTTAGGGCAGAGATGAAACTGCAACTGTACATTTGTTAACTTATCACAATATAGCACATATATCACAACTTATGAAACAGTTACGTGAAAGTATTATAGAAGGAGTATTTCCTGACGTGGTTCGTTCTTTGATTCTTCAACACTTTCAAAAGGAATCCATTCCAGAATGGATTTGTGATGCTTTAGCTGCGGTTCAAATTCCCTTGAAACCTTCCTAAAAACGACGCGATAGGAAGCCCCACAAGAAAGAAATGAAAAATAAAACAAAAAGTCCTTTACAAATGGAACTATAATATGCATATTCATTCCCAAAACAAAAAAACAATCAATTCCTGCCACAAAGAAAACGTGAAAAAGAGAAACAAGTGAAAGCTATACGTATTTGAAGACACAAAACACAAGTTCCTTCCGGTAAAAGGCGTTAAAAAACGCCCTTTGAGAGAGCTACACTTTACACTCTCTCGCCTCGGATTCTCCTTGCCAACTGAATATCCTTGGGCATAATAGTAACACGCTTGGCATGAATTGCGCAAAGATTGGTATCTTCAAACAAGCCAACCAAGTATGCTTCTGAAGCTTCTTGTAAGGCAGTCACAGCCGAAGTTTGGAAGCGAAGATCCGTCTTAAAGTCCTGGGCAATCTCTCGAACTAACCTCTGAAAGGGTAATTTGCGAATAAGAAGTTCAGTGCTCTTCTGATATTTACGAATTTCTCTCAAGGCAACGGTACCGGGACGATAACGATGGGGTTTCTTTACTCCTCCTGTAACTGGAGCGGATTTTCTCGCTGCCTTAGTAGCCAACTGCTTTCGAGGGGCTTTCCCTCCAGTAGACTTACGTGCTGTTTGTTTTGTTCGTGCCATTGACAACTAGAAACGACGACAAGTAGTGATGCAAATTCAACAAAGAAAATTTCTGAATGATGAATTGGCAGTTGTATCAAATGGGGGATTGTTATAAAGACTTGTGTATTTCAAGGCGGGCTTATAAGAAGGGAGGGCCGTTTCTACTGAAATGGTAGACGGATTCCCAATCTCAGTAATTGGACCAATCAGATTTCAGTTAATTGACCTGATGTAAAATCCAAAATGCTCTCAGCACAGCCCGCCTTGAGGGTTTCCATGGTTTTAAAAGCTTAGCAAAGACATTCTCTCTGATCATCGCATTGTTTCTTTGTGAAAATTTGATTGTTCGTATTTTGATCTTGTTGCAGATATGACAGGTCGTGGTAAAGGTGGTAAAGGTTTGGGAAAAGGCGGTGCAAAGCGTCATCGTAAAGTTTTGCGAGACAATATCCAAGGAATTACCAAGCCAGCTATACGTCGTCTTGCCAGAAGAGGTGGAGTGAAGAGAATTTCGGGCCTCATCTACGAAGAAACGCGCAACGTTCTTCGTGTTTTCTTAGAAAGCGTTATTCGCGATGCAGTTACCTATACTGAGCATGCACGTCGCAAAACAGTAACTGCAATGGATGTCGTATATGCTCTGAAACGTCAAGGTCGGACACTTTACGGATTTGGAGGATAAATCTGTTTTCAACAAAGGGTGTTTTTGAACACCTTTCATCGATGGAACTTGTCCTCTGTTTAGTTTATCTTACAAAAAAATGGATCCTATTTCAATTGTAGATTTTCAAAAGAAACAAGCTACCGTCCTGTTGTTTCTTGTATAATTGTACAGTTGTGAATAGTGTGTGATAGGTTTGAATGATTGTGTTCATTTGAAACAAAAAAAGGACGACAAATAATTCGTCAAAAAGAAATGCTAGATAATTATGCGACTCTTTGTATTTTCTTTCTTTCTGAATAAATGTATGTAGTACCTTGTTATTCCTAGGACTGCAACTACAATACTGATGTGTTTATATTTATCCATGAATACTTTGCTTTGACAACATTTCCATCTTGTAAAAAAATCGTGTCTACATTTCATTTGATGCATACATACTTTGTTTTTATATGATGTAATTAAGAATATGAAATAAAATAACAAGTTTTCTTTCATAAAAGGGGTGTCTATCAGACACCTTTTACGTATATCGTTGTTAAGATGAAGTGTATTTGGTCACTGCTTTAGTACCTTCAGATACAGCGTGTTTTGCAAGTTCTCCAGGTAACAAAAGACGAACTGCAGTTTGTATCTCCCGAGAAGTAAGCGTCTTGCTCTTTGAATAAGCAGATAGCTTGCTAGCTTCTGAAGCAATTCTCTCGAAAATATCATTCACAAAAGAATTCATGATGCTCATTGCCTTGCCTGATATTCCAGTATCAGGATGAACTTGCTTTAAGACTTTGTATATATAAATGGAATATGTCTCTGATCTCTTCTTCTTAGATTTCTTCCTATCGACTTTCGGAATAGGTTTTTTACCTGCAACTGGTACACTTTTCGCACCTTTGGGAGCCATGATGAAAAAAATAAGAGCTTCACAACAATCAGTCAATATTATCTTCAAATGAATAGCCTTGAGCTTATAAAGAACGCAATCATTTTGGGCGGGCTAGGGTCTCCATGAGGCAGATGATTCCCAATCCAGCAGTTGATTGGTAGTAATTGGCGGAAGGCGTTGACCCGCCATTTTCTTCAAAGATCTACAGTAGAACAGAGATGGGTCTATTTGAGGGCTGTGAATGTGTGTATCCTTACCTGTCATAAAAGCATTCAATCATTTCCATCACCGAAAGCATGCAACGAGAACAACGATGCTAATTATCATTTGCAGCTTGATTCATACGAGAGTTTCTTCCGCTGGACTACTTATTGGTTATCCTCCCTCTAAAACTACTATATAACTTGCAGTCAACATGATAGTCACTGAACAGCTTTTGGATTGAGCCTGGGATGAACTTTCTGAATATACAGTTTGTTATTTTTAGTCTTATGTTTCCATAGATATTTTGATAGTAGATGATTGGATAGGAGGAAAGACAAATATCATGATAAAGACACAACTGGACAATAGTGATTTGACTCCTTGTTGGTGGTGGTGTGCAATGGCCACGAGTAGTGTATTGCCAACTACTAAGCCAGTAGTTCGGGAGTGGGCCGACGAGGACGACTTTTCAAACAAGTTACCACCACTTGAGGAATGGTATGACGAAGAAGGCTTAAAACACGTTGTTGAGTACCACTTCAATGAGGAGAACAAGTTAGTAAAGACAACAAAGGTATTTCGAGTAAAGAAGGAGACCAAACAAGTAAGCAAGTCCGTTGCTGAAAGAAGACATTGGAAAAAGTTTGGAGATTGTCAGAGAGCTCCGCCTGGACCGGAACCTGGTGTGACAGCCGTGAGCCTTGACGATGTCTCGATAGAGTACAAACGTGGGGAGGAGTCCGAAGGTGAAGAGGACCTCAAAGCTAAAGAGCAAAAGGATATTCAAAAGATGCTAGCTATGCAGCGTTTTAAAAGAAGATTAGAAGAGAGAAGAGCTGGAGTTGCCAATTGGGCTCAACTTATGGCTCTCAAAGCAGGAGCTCAAAGAGATGAGTTGGAGGTTCCTTCAACAAATGCCAATTCTGCCAACACAGGAAAGTACGTTCCACCTCATTTACGAGGAGGAGGGAGAGTTTCTAGTGACTCCTCATACACTAGAGACGATTCTGCAACTGTAAGAGTAAGTAACTTATCACCCAATACGACGGAAAGCGATTTGCAAGAATTGTTTCATCCTTTTGGTAATATTCGTCGTATTTTTATTTCCAAAGATCGTCACACTGGCGAAGGTAAAGGGTTTGCCTTTGTCGCTTTTTCAAATAGAGAGGATGCTCGCAAGTGCATTGAGAAGCTAGACGGTTATGGCTATGACCACCTAATTTTACGTTGTGAGTGGGCAAAGCCTAGTGAGAACAAGAGAGGACAGAAGTAGGAACCTTTGAGTGCAATAAATAAGGCAAGAGCTGATCAATTTTTTCACAAAATTGAGACAGGATGGTCAACCAAAGAAAACAAGAGATTTATTACTTGTGTGTTGCCGAAGCTACAACTTGCTGATAGACGTTATGGAACTCTATCTCGTCTTGGTCAGTTGCTTGGATCTCTTTCTGTACTCCGTTCAGTTTTTGAACGAGAGCCTCTCTCGAAGAAGAATACAGCATTTTTGACTTTATCTTTGCACTCTCTGGTGACCTAAAGCAAGCCCAATAAGTTTGCGAGATACGGCATATACGAAAACCCACCAAAGAACGAAAATTATTCTATTTTTGGAAACACCTTCTGAAGTCTGATACTCAAAGTCATACACTGCGAAACGGCAATCGTTTTCTGGTAATTCAGTCACAAACTTTTTCCAATCTTCTTGCTACAAAAAAGGTTCAGTATCAGAACTTAACTGTACGCTCAAACTCACAGCAGTACACTTGGTTATGTTGGAAGATGGGAGTGTCTTTTCCACACACACAGAGGACAAGTCATCAGAGAGTTTGAATACGATAGCCCGGTACTTTCTCTGTGATTCTGTTTAAAGCTCATTCGTCTACCCAAACACTTCCTACTTACTGGTGTGCTTCTTACAAGAACAGTGAACTCCTTCCCACATATATCGTCTACCGCAACACCAGAAGCCTAGAGACGCAAATTTATGTATCTATCGCTGCGAATGATTGAAGTCCTTACCATATCTGTCAAGTCCCTGGTTGTTCAACAACAAATAATACTCTTGAGCAAAAATCAAAAACAGTGTTGCGTGCCCAACGAGGCAAGTGGATTGTCTTTAAAAATACCGCGCTTCTCTGAGCCACGTTGGCAATCAATCATTTGAATTGAGGTCTTTGTACCCTTGACGAGCTGTCCATGGGCTCAACCAGAAAGATAAGGTTAGGTTGGCTTTTTGAAAAGCGCAGTATTTTAGACATAAGATCCTTTGTTTGTTCTTCTTCTTTTAGTATTACTCTCATTTGCTTGTATATGTGTGCATTTTCGAGAAATATAGATAGCACTCATTTGTAACATAAAGAAGACATGTCTAGTGATAAAGAAGCTAAACTTTTTGTCAATTGGAAATACGTTGCAATCCAAGTTGTATTGAAAGTGTTTGAATTCGACATATGCTTTCGAAAGTCTGTTATTTTCTATATAAGAACCATAGAATTTATTTCCCACTCCCCTCGAGTTGAATACTTAAGATGACTCCTCAGCGTAGAGCTTATCCATTTCGATAGCCGATAAAGAAACAATCCCATGGAAAAAAACTAATGAAAGTCTTATATTGTGAAAGAAACACATGGCATAAGTTGTTTATGAGAATAAGAGACAAGATCTTTCCATATCCTTTTATTTCAAACGGTCCAAAATTGCCATTACGGAACAATAGACTTTCTTTGTGGCAAATAATAATCCGAGATTCTTTGCCAAAGATTCTTAAATGGTACGCCCATTCCATTCTATCGGTTCCCATTTTTTTGTCCCATTTCGCCTGTGAGGCGTGTGTGCAGCATTTCTAGTGTTTTTATGGCGGTGTTTGAAAGTGATGCCTTTGGTCCCGTAATTAAGTTTACGAAGAGGTATAATTCAAGAAGGCGTTACAAGTAAGCAAAAAACTTTTGTTTAAAAGCCCACGTACTGAAGGGTCTCCCGTCCTCTTTCTATTTGTCAACTTAGAGAGTGTATTTGTTGCTTTAGTGCGTCAGGCGGTAAGCCAGGGTGGTTCTTTTGACGTTAGCCGAAAATTACTCGCAACGGGCTATACGACTGGTACGCTCCTTGTATATTTCAATTTTTTTGAGTTTCCCAGTCTTATACTTTCGTATAGACAGTGGTGTGAAGACGAATGTCGCTGCTTTTCGAGAGAGTGACTTTTACGAAAGAGTCTTTTCAAGGATAGCTTCGAAGCGTGCTGACTTTTGGAAAGACGTTTCGGTCACGTTGGTAGTCTCTACGGTTGACACCGAGTCTGACAAGGTTATTTCAGTGTGGAACGCTTTTGTCACAAAGGATCGTCAATTGTTTGTGGAAGCGCCAGAAGTGCTCACGTCTCCTTCGAAGGACACTCTTATCTGCCTCCTAGAACTCGCTGAGGAACTTGGTTGTTTGCAAGCTTTTGTTTGCGTAAATAAGGAGTACAAGCACTTTAGGGAGCTCGTGAGGACCTTTACCTATATGGGATTCGCGCTAGTAAGTCCGAGAGAACAGACAAAATTGGTGAGTTGGCGTTGTGATGTGAGTGACTATGCCATTTTAGGCTATAGCCTTGAATAAGCAGCGTGTTTCGTTGCCTGTCAGTCGAAGTATTGGAGTAGTTTTCGGCTTGTAAAAGAGTTCCAGTGTACGTTCATGTGACGTGTTGAGCGTTTCTTGATTCGTGCAGTGGCCTCCCTTGTTTGCTTACTAGAGAGTTTCGCCTGCTATGGGGGTTGAACAAGCTGTGCCCGTGGCTTGCCTTGTAGTAGTCGAGGTTTTTAGTCGTTGGCAAATTTTCTGTGGGAGACTTGACTGAAATCTGGGACTGACAACTCTGATGGAAACCAAAGCACTGCTAGAGTGCTCGGTTTCTGTCGTCTCGTGTGTCTACTTTTCTTGTTTTGCACGAGATCGCAGGATCTGTGGGGGTTCGACCCGGTGGGAGAGATTTCAGCTTCTTCTTACAAAAATATTTTGCCAACTTCGTTGGTTTTTTCTTGCATGAAAAATAAATAGTATTGATTTTTTACAAGTCTCCTGATTTTATATATTTGATGGGGTTGATAAAAAATTTATTATTGAATCGAAATGGCAGCCATGGAAGATAGCATTGAATGGCAGAAACCTTCAGAAGCCTTACCAAGCTCGTATAAGAGAGAAACTCTAGTAGAGGGTAAAGAACAGCTTGAAGCCTTAAAATCCCTAGCACAAAATATTTCTCACAGTTTAAATTTGTATGCTGAAGGAACAGACCTTGTCCCTACTGAAATTATACCTAGTATCTACGCTGATTTGGAGCTATTGAATAATGGAACAAAGCGCTTTCTAAATTTGAAGCTATATAAAGAGTTTTTAATATATTCTGAGGCGCAAGGTGAAGACTCCAAACAGTCATTTTCTACCTGGGAAAACATGGCTTCCAATATTTTACTTATATTACAGACCTTGTTGGCAGGAATTTTGAAAAGGACAACGGATGCTGCATTGCGGATAAAACTTGCAAGGACTGTTACGAAATTATTAGAAAAACCAAAAATTCTGGGTGATGATTGTAGCTTTTCACCTCCTTGGAAGGAGACATTGGAGTTGTTGGAGGAATTTCACGTACGGAGTTTTGATGGCGCACTTTTTATCGGAAAAGAAGTTCGAGAACAACATCTGCGAGCCCTCGTAACTTTATTGCTTTGTTTTCGATATTATTTGAATTCGACTTGCGAGGAAGTTATTTTTAGCCTTCCTATGTTCAACAGTATACCATCCGCCAAACCGAATAGTACAAGTACTCTATTTTTTGAGAAGTTAGATTGGGAGAATCCTGTCAAAGCGATAGAGCAGTTAGCCAGCGCAAGTTTGATTGTACCATGTCATAGTCCTTTTATTCTTTCATGGATTCCTGAAGCTGTATCCTTATGGATGAAGATAAACACTTGTCATGATTGGGATCGACTCTGGTGAGTTACTTGTTTTTGTGTGTTTGCTTACTAATTTCCTATTTCCAAGGCTTCGACTATTTGGACATATTGCTAAGCAGCAACCTCATGCAATAGACTGGACACCGTATATGCATATTATTTATGATCGAATATTTAGCTGTTTTCAGATATCTACTCGTGAAGGTGCTCGAAGAGTAAGTAGATGTTTGTCTATTTTTTGCATGATTTATTGTTTAGACACAATCCATTATAAAAACTCCTCCCAATGTATCATGTCTTATTCGAGGTGATGCTGTGTCTTCAGCTGCAGAGTTTATTGTATATTCTCTTACACCAATGAATCCCTCCGGTCTAGATTTATTTCTCCGACTAGTTCAAATTATTGAACCATTTTATCATCCCAAGTAAGTGCTTTTGAATATTATTGCGATGAATAGATTGAACATTTGTACTCTTCTTGCAGTCATCTAGAACACAACCAACATTTTGTGTCATCTTTTCTCTCTTCTTGTACTCGTAATTTACTCAATCGATTGAGTTCGGAACGAAAGGCGACACAAGAAAATGTGGTAGAACGTATCCAGGGCTCACGAACGATAACTGCAGTAGCAGCCAAAGAACATCGACTCACAGAGCAGTGGATTGAAGATATCGTTAGCAAGCTTTACGGTTTGACAGAACGTTCTTTATATTCCAAGTCATCCAAGTCTACTCAAGAGGTCAGAATATTCATTGTATCTATTGATTACCATTTGATATTGTACATTTAAGGCAGCGAATAGTATTGGAAACCTGTGTGCTATTTTACCTGAAATGGTTATTCCCAAATTAGTTTTGACGTCACAAGATGACTTTATTTCGTTAACTATGCCGCATAGAACAAAGGCCTCTTTAAAAGCTTTGGATGTAATATGTCCTATCTTGAGTGATTCACAACTGTATCCACAAGGTAAGATTATTGAATACAGTCATTATTTATCCAGTCATATATAATGCTTGATGGAGTAGGCGTTGAATATATTTTGCAGTTGTTGCCTCATTTGCTTCCATGTGTTGATGTCAATGATTCTATGAAGACTAAACTAGCCATTGATATCGTTACTGCACTTTCTCATCGTTTTGGAGAAATATTTTGTGATCAAACACATGTACTGGAAGAGTTTGTGTTACAATGGATAGAAAGGTAAGTCATAGCTGATAGAGGAACGACATATCTCACACAAATTGCAAGAATCATTCATTTTTTAGAAAATGTAGAGATGCCTGCCAAATTCGGACATTCCAAAATTTCACCTTTAAGTTTTGATACATTTGGAAACTTTTGCGAAGTTTTCTTTCAAAACTGTCCCGAAAGTGTAATGTTTGGTCTTTGTGAGAAAGTCTCCAAGGTGAGAAATTCGCCTTTATGGTTGGAATATCTTTATGCATGCTTTTGAGTAGATCGTATCAGCCTCTGCGTCAACAGAGGCATTAAAACATTATGGCATAATGCTATTTTGGATTGCAAAGAGTTATCCCAGCTGTATGGACTCCTTTTTTATCAAGCCTTTGTTGCTACAGATTCAAGACTTCTCTCAAACTCATCTACAGCTAAAGGATTCTTCTCATGAAGAATTATATGGACGTCTACGACTTCTTGCAAACGCTGTACGTGGCTTTGCAGACTCTCAGTATTCCGCAAATATTCTTCAAGTTGCTTTAGCCGCAACGAAAGAAACTGAAAGAAGATTGTACAAAGCAGGAAGTCGTCTACTTCGAAGTCTTTTAGAAGGACTATGTTCTACTACTTTAGGACCCCATTTGCATTCATCTTCCAATCAACATTGGAATATACCCAACTCTTCGCATTGGAATATGGCAGTGAAATTTGTTGAACAAATGTTGGAATATTTAGACTGTTCTTTATTTGACAAAGATCCTGAAGAACTTTTGAGAGACGAAATGTGCAAGGAGAGAATTTTTAGTGCGGCAAGAACGCTTCATGCTCTTCAAAGGGGAGGACGTTGGTTATTAGCTGGTGCATTCGAGAAAAGTATTTGTCAAGAGAATGAAGTCAGCTTTTCTCTTTGGAAAGGTCCGGTATATGCTGGAATGTTTGGTGAAGTGAACAGTATGTTATTATTGTGCAGTTTACTTTTTATTTAAGTTTTTCTAGGAAATCTTGCAACTGAGTTGTGGAAGAAAGTCTTTCAGCGTATTCTTCGTTTATTGGAAATTTGTTGCAAATATTTTCCAGATAATGCTGTTGTTCTTTATCGAGTTTTAAGTCCTATCGAAATGGGTAATGAAGCTTTTCGTTTTGATAGTAGACTGCGTAGGGTTGTAAACCAAGCTAAAAGCTATAAACAATCCATGCAGGCTTCCATCATTGCAAAATATGGTAGGTTGTTGTTATGATAGATATTCGATGATTAACTATTTTTCTAGGACCCAACCAAGTTGGAAAGAATATGCCTTCGATTTATCATAGATGGAGAATGGAATCTCTTCATCGAAAGAGACAAGGCTATTGTGCTAAGGGAGGCTATATGGAACCGCAACTTACCAATGCCTTATTACAATATTTGGAGGAATTTTGTTTCTCAGAATTCAACAAAGTAAGAAACTGTTAGGGCAATCTGTCTTAGTACTGAAACTTTGTAGGTTCGTTCCCGTGCAAGGAATGCCCTTACATGTGCCTTGCGTTTAACGCCATTTCATCAGCGTTGGACTTACGCAGAGAATATGTTTGAATCTGTTCAAACTTGCATAGCATCTTGTGAAGAAGAGAAAATTATTGTAAGTTTTGTTATCTTTATGTTTCATGGCATGTGAACTTTCAAAGGCTTGCTTGGAGTTGCTACAACATCCATTCCTTATTCGATTCTTTACCAAATATTACTATTGGATGAAAAAACTTGTGTTTGTTATATTGCAAAGTTCAAAAGTTTCTGAACGTCATGATGTTGTTATTTCCCTTTCTTCATTGTTCGGTAAACTTTTGAGCCAAATACATCCACTTGTTCTTTCATCGTCAAAACAAGAAAAGGAGACGCACAATATCGAATCCAAATATGCTAATGCCAAGGAAGAATTGCAGTCCATTTTGGATATGCTTTATTCTGTAGTCTTTCAATCCGAGTCTCTCATATGGAATGGCAATTGGAAGGTTCAAGCTTTTGTGTTTTCACTTCTTTATGTGTTTTATCGTCCTGAATGTTTCATTTCTGACGAGTATCTATCTCAATTGATGAAATATCTTTGTTCGGAAGTAATGATTGTACGTGCAGTCGTTCAAAGAATGGTTCATTTGATTCTGCAACTATCCAACATTCAACAGAATGAGAAATGGAAACAAATGATTGTTCATATGCTTTCAGATAATTCCTTTGAGTTGTCTTTATTGAGAACCATGTGTCAGGACCTATCCGTGCATGACCCAAACGAACAAGCTGCTGGTTCTCCACTTCATAGGAATATGCTTAGTGCTACGACAATGTCACTAGCTTCCAGTTTCTTTTCCGAATCTTTAGATGCATGGACTTGTTGGATAGTAGATGGAGGAGAACCTTGGCCACTTGGCTATTTTGGACGCCCTGTTAACGATTTGGTGAGTTAAACAAGGCGCAACTATATTTCATCGACGTTTGAATATTTGTGCTTAGGTATCTTTGAGACATGTGAGACTTCTGTCTCGATTATTATCGTTTGTAGACACTCAAACGTTGTATCAAATTCATCATGTTGCATTGTCTTTGCTGGATGCTGAACAATTGAGAGATCAAATTGTGACTCCCAAAATCAAACATTTGATATTTGGTGAATTCTCAGTAGCAGCTATCGTAAACTTGAAAGACGATAGAGAATCATTGCAATATGTAAGTTGAGTGACAATTGTTCCTAATTGTTTTTCAAATATTCTTCAGGCATTGGACTGGATGAAACAGTTGTTAGCGTGTTTTGTAGATGCCGATTCTTTGAGCACAATAGAAACGCTTTTTCGTCTTCTTTATCAACTTGACCCAAAATGTTCCTTTTATCAACCTTTTTGGGAATACTTGATGTACACAGTATCTAATAGTGATGTTTGGAATCAGTCATCATTGAATGATGCACGTCATATGCGGTTAGTAACAATAATCATCTGAAACAAGGCTGTATCTTTACTAATTGGTATATGTAGAACACTTTTTGCTTTAGTTGCAGATCAATTCCCATTTAATCTTCAACTGATTGAACAGAATCGAGGCTCTTTCCTCTCAGCGATAGATTGGCTGACAGACTCCAATTATTTGTCGCACGATTATGAACAAGTCCGAGACGAAGTTGTTCGTTTGCTTTGTTGCTTCATGCTTGATGATAACAGAGAAACATTGAGTTCACTTACCACTAGTACAAAAGTAATCCGTCGCTTGAGCTCCATTTTACGAGAGTTGAGGAACCAAGGAGATATAGACGACCGAGGAAAGAAACAACTGTCCAACACTCGTCATACTTTGAGTTTGTTGGTTTACAAATGTTCCTATTTAAGAGGACCTTTACATCCCTTGTTTGATAGTCGTTTGGTACAAATTTGGTTACCTTTATTGCTAATTGCAAAGGAAGACTCCGATGTCGATGTGGCAGCACAAACAACCAACGCGCTATCTTGTTGTGCTCGTTGTCTGATTCCCTCTTCGGTGGGTATTAAAGAAGAATTAGAATGTGTTCTTTATGACTAATTCATAATTTGCATATTCGTAGAACATGGAATCAATATTGATGGAGATATGTAAAGAGAATTTGCACGCAACGTCTTTCAAAGTTCGGGGAGGAACCGTTTCCTTTTTCCAGATGTGGATATTTTTCCACTTTTTCTGTTTATCGAATAATGTTATTGCTGTAAGTAGGAAAATATAACACATACGGTTAAGAATAACAATTCAAATAATATTAGTTGCAAGAATGTTTGTTGGAATATTTATTCGATGAGTCGGTAGAAGTGAGAGAAGCAGCATCTCGTTCATTTATTTCATTGGCTTGTCTCAATTCGATGGAAGTTTTGGAAACTTGGAGTCGTCGGATGATGCATATTTTAGAGACTAACGATAAGAACAGTGGTACGAACCGAGAAGATGACTCTCGGATTCGTTTACGTCACGGTGCAGCATTGGGTGCTAGTGCTTTGATTCTCTCGCAGCCGTTTGCTATTTTACCATGGATGCCATCCTTATTGGTACAAGTGGCCTATTGTATTCATGACGTACCACCTATTTCCACATGTGTGCGTACCCTGTTCTCAGAGTAAGTGAAAGAGTGAACGTTGAGTCCCCTATTTCATTAGAAATATAGGTTTTGGAGAAGCCATCATGATGAGTGGTCCAAGCAAAAGCAAATGTTTGAACCGGAGCAATTGGAAGCGTTCAACGAATTGCTCATAGCACCTTCATATTATGCTTGACATGCTGTTGTTTCGTTGCATCCCATAAAACAAAATCACCCAGCATTTTTCTTTTACAGGAGCAAAACAATGCGTTTGCTTGAAATTGCATGATCTTTCGAGAACATCCATCATGGACAAGTGGCTTTCATCCGTGCTTTCTCTGGAAACCCAACTTGACTCGTGGGGTAGAAAGAGAAGTGTTAAAAAAGCACTCCCACTGATCACTAGACTTCTTTTGATTGCCACGTTTATCGAAGATTCCATCCGAGGAATAGTACAACGTGAGCTGCAGGTTGGTACTTACCTTTGGGAGACTATGTGTGCACTTTTTCATTCCTTCTCCCTTAGATTCAATTTCTTCAATATCGTTACCATTTACCGTTCCTTGTATCAGCTGTTTTTCTATACTCTTGGATCTCGACTGCCACTGTTGCCAGCTTCAGCATCCTTTTGCGTTGGCACGAAGACCGTGCTGCGTTGGTGTTGGTTGCGTACGTCACGTTGCAGCAACTTTTGTATGGAAAATATGCGCCTTCTACTCACGGAAAATGGGGATTCTTGGTTCGTAACCTTTGCCTTTGCGGTAGTCTCTTGATCATCGTCGCCTCTAGTCGGATGAAAAAAGGTAACCTTGTCATTGCATTTCATCGACATTCATCACGTTCCCTAGGCTATACGTTGTTACCAGGGTTTGGTAAGCCAAAAAATGGCACCACTTCACGTTTTCCTGAATACATACAACTCGCAAGTCGTTGTTTGATGGCATTGTTGTCGTTGGAGTTTGTGGCTTCGATGGGATGGATCGGTACATTGCTTTCTCTACCCGTGGTGTTGTTTGTTTTCGTTGGATTCAAAACGCAGTTGTGTTCTTTATTGTTGATGTTGCTGTATGCTATACATAATGTGTTGCAAAGTGCTTTTTGGTATTTTCGTGGTAACTCGTGGGAAGCGATGGTTCAACGAGATGTCAAATTGTTTGAGTTTGTACAAACCTTATCCATCATGGGTGGACTAGGTTTGTTATCCAGTTCGGGTCCTGGGGCATTGAGTTTCGATGAACGGAAAAAATAATGAAGTACTGGTGTAGAATTTCTCTTTTATATAGCCTCGTAATAAAAACGAATCTAGTTGTGTTGTTCTAAATACATGCCATTTGGGGATGATTATGTAAAGTTTTGCAATTGACGACGAAGAAGATAACGAGAATCAAATACTCTCCTATAAAAGTTTTCAAACATATCATATCCTAGTTTTGATAAGGAAACGCTAGCCCAATGACCAAAAAGGATAAGATAGATATGATGATCGAGCCACTGAATGGCAATTGGAAACGGTACAAAACAAGGCAGCACAACATTGATCAAAAGATAGACAGTACTAAACACTAAACTCATATTGATCATCCACTAAAATAACGTAATGACAAGGATCCACAGGTCTTGGCAATACACTTACCGGTAACAATATTCTGCGATCATGAAGTGAAAACAAGAGAGTATTTGCATGCTCTTCCACAGCCTCGACACCCATCATTGCTCCACGGCGTTCAAACAAGTAGTGAATCAAATGACGCATCTTACAAAATGACTTCATTATCAATAGACCAGTATAACAACAACGAAATAAGTTGTAATAAGGTGTTTCATCCGAGGAAAGTTGCACTGGATTAATAAAAGTGTTTTGAATCAAAACACCAACAATAGTTGGAAACATCATATACCAGACAAAAATCTTCATCATTTCTAAGGAAAAGCCTTTCAATTGCATCAAGACAAGTGTAGCCTTCGATGTGGAAGGATTCAACAGTATGCAATCATACAAAGAATAACAACACCTGTAAAAGAAAAATAAAGCAAGAAATCCCAATATGAAATGATAAATATCGTTTGGATGATCAAATCCGATGTTCAAAGAGATACGACGTCCAACATATAAAGGAATGAAGCTAATAAGAATCATGGATATAAATAAGACCCAGAAGCCAAATAACATGAGTAATCCACGGACGGTAAGAGAAACAATAGAAAATGAACTTGCTCTTCTCCTGATATCCTGGACACCATTCATATTCGTTCTTCCAACTATGGAATCGAGAACCACCAACTCCTTGATACAAAGCAGTTCACTGGTTACAGTTATATATGTTACAAGCAACTGCTTCAATGTTTGTCTCACATGAATTTGTTTTGAAATAAGAGGCAAGAGAAAACGAAACAGAAGAATACAAATGGGACCTTCAGTCAAAGTATCCCTCATCTCGATACGAAACGGAAAAAGAGAGGGGTACACCTTTTGCAGGATCCACGTTGGAACGAAAACTGAACAGAAAATAATGAAAACAAAAAGTATGAGGGATAGAATTATTTGTTTTGAATGAACTGCTATAGGTAACTCCACCAGGTCACGAAATGGATGAAAGTCTGGATCATCAGGGTTGCGAAAGAAGAATAACAATTCGGGTCGAACAATCTAAAAAACATTTCAGAAAATTTACAACTATGCAATGTATTCACCTTACAGTTCGCAGTGTTTGAATAAACATTGATGTATTGAATGTAAAGAATACTCCCAAAAACCAATGAATTAAAGAGGAGAAGAAAGGATCTCCTATTATTGAAAGTCTTTCTGGACGAAGTTGAGAATAAAAGAGAGAAGAAGAAAATCGTTCGATAAGCAAACCACAAAAGAAAGGACAAATACCCAGTTCAATAATCAATAGGGCCACAACCTTAATAATACACCATTTTGTTTTTTGTTGTATACATCCCGACATCACTTACCTTTACGAATAGAAAAGCATCGTTAACAAATAAGAGATACCTATTGATTACTCTTTGAAATTGAAAGGAATAATGATCCTTGAAAACTTCCACCCATAATGATAAGGTGCCCAGAATCATTGTCAAAACAAGGTATCTGTCCCATACAATGACTTCAGCATATCAACAAGAAAGAAAAAACTTACCCAACAATGACATTGCCTATCTTACTACTAAGAAATGAATAGAGTAGACGAGTTCGGTCTTCTCCAAAAAACTCGAAAAGAGTTACTTTACAAGAAAATCCGATAGATGTTGCAAACAAAGTCACGACGTGACCGACAGCTGATGGCGCCAAAACGAAAAGAAAAAAGATAAATGCATTACTTAACAGCACTGAGCCAGCGACATCCATTAGAACGTGCAGTGGTCCTGTTATTCCAAGAATTGCGCCAAGACTGCCTTCCTCTCTTTCTCCATCAAGAAACGCAGGGAATAGTGCTCTTTCTACTCTGTCTCCTTCAGGACTTTCTTGTTCTACGTCACGGCTTCCTTGACGACTTTCCATAGTGTTGTTTCCATAATTGGAAGCACTGTATGCTAATCTTTGGTTAGTTATTCTTTCTTCTTCTCTCCTTTCTCTTTCGAGATCTTGTAAAAAGGAGCGAAACGAGGCTGTAGCGAGAAAAAGAATCAGCACAGAACAACATACTATATATCCCTTTAGTATTTCCAAACCCAAACCAGTCAAACTCCAGGGCACTATAGTTGACAATTCTATAACAGACCGACAAAGGCAAGCTCGGAAAGTCATGCTGGAGACCAAAGGAACTGCACAGAGCCATACCAAACAAGCCACACATAACCGTCCAAACAAGCTTCCAGTTTCTAATAAGAAGGAAACCACACCGCTTAACAACTCAAAGAAGCTCAAACGACTGGGACTATCTTGTTTGTATACTGGAATAAAACGAAAAGTGGAGCCACAGAGTTCGCAGCGTTCACTTCGCATTTCACTCAACCATTGCACAAGACAATCCTCGTGGATGTACTTTATGCTGCCAGAACATCGACAAGGGTGGAAGAGGGGTCTATCAGGTTCGTTAGTGCCTCTACAGATGCGACACTCAGGTTCATCTTCTGTGGCAACGTCCATCCAGCCAACAAAAGAAATGCAAAAAATGGGAACCCCGTTGTGATATTATTGATGAAGTGAACAAAAGAAGCAAAATATAAATAAAAGAAATGATTCACAAATACTTTTATTTTCAAAATATTATGATTCACTTTGTTGAAACTTCACTATGAGGAGCAAACAAATTGATATACTTCTTCCAATTTGTTACTGTATGAGTTGACCTTGTCACGAATTTCCATCTTGTACATAGTTAGCAGCTCGATACTTTGTAAAAGAGCATCATTCATTTGTTCCTTTTCTTCATACAACTGCTTTTGAGTTTGTTTGTATTCACTGTAAGCACTATCCAAAGCTTGTTGACTTTCTCTGAGAGCAGAATCGTTTGAAGCCTTCATTTGTGCCACTTCTTGTTCAAGTTCACTAGTTTCCCTTGCCTTGCTTTCTAAATAGCTTGCCAACGTCTCTCTTTCATTCTTATAGTGATTCTCCAGTTTCTGATATTTACCTTCCAAGGAACTCGTCTAAACAAGATAACTAAAACAAATTGAGAAGCAACGAAAGTTGAACATACCTCGTTCCTCTTAAACAGGAGTTGTTCTTCGAGATGGTTGTATTTTTCTTGTACAGTCAGTTCTTCTTCTCGTGTTCTGCTTGCTTTACTAGAAAAAGCTTCTCGAAGTTCGTGAATGGTAGGCTTCACCACAGAACTCAAGTCAAGAGAAAGAATATCTTCACAACGATGCAAAGAAGCGTCTCGAGAAAGCTCAATTTCAAAGTTAAAGCCTTTCGCATTTTTGGCAGTTGAAGGAATGAGTTGAAGCTTTTCTGCAAGTCGGTGATAGTCTCGCAAAGCGTCTTCCACCTTCGCAGTTTGTTCAATCAGTTTTTCGTCTACCTTTGACTGCAATTCAATGGCTTCCTGACGATGAGCATATGCTTTCTCGAGTGCTTCTGTGAGCATTTGTTTATCTCTTTGTAATCTGTGTCCATCAATATGGTTCAACTCTTGATCTTCGATTATTTGACGCAAGCGATTTTTCTCTTGTTTCCAGACTTCCAAGTTCTTTTCTTCGTTCTGAAGTTCTTCATCTCGATCTGCTATTTTTTTGTCATAAACTTGTCTGTGTTGCTCCAACTGATTGATGAGAGTTTTGAATTTTTCAATGTCTTTCTTGTAATCCTCAATCTTCTGCCTGAGTGACTCCAAAGAATTTCTCTTTTCAATGAGTTGATGATACTCATCTTGGAAACGCTTGATTTCTCGTTCTAATTCTTCAGTTTCGCTTTCTACGCGATTGTTTTCTTTATCGAATGTTGCAGCAAGTTCTTCATCAAATTCATCAAAAGAATCAGCCCCGCCTAAAAATGCCTGATAGGACCGCGAAACATAGTCAAAGAAAATACGATTGAGGCTCGATTCAGTATCAATACTTTTGGTCTCTTGAGAGGATGCCTGTTCGTCATATGCCAAAAGGTCGGTGATCCACACCAACAATCCCAATAAAGTCGGCCAGGTATGAGGACTTCCAACTGCATAGAGTGTGCTTTTACTAATGGTAAAGGGATATTTTAGGGTTTTGAACAATGTAGGAAGCTTGAGAAAATATTTTCTTTGAATCATTCCATAAAAAAACAAGGAGCCGACTTACCTCCTCCTCGAATTTCTTTTCAAAGTCGAAATATGGATCTATCTTACGAAGTAGAAATAAAAGAATAGACTGGAATTCTTTGCTTGTTGGTGTCGTAAGAGTCTTTGGAGAGATAGCTTGGTCGTAGCCGTGTGTTGAGAGAAAGTAGATGAGGTTTCTCACGCAGTCATTGAGATAAGACTTGTCATTCAAAGGTCTCGGGTCAACCTTAAGTCCAACCTTATTTGTAAAGACACTAGAGCGCCTAGAAACTATGAGCGGTATAAAATTGCCGGAAAAGGTGTATGTACCTCACGCCTAAAGAAGAATATCTTGTTGAAGTGGAAGAAGCGGAGAGACGTGGCCTTTGAGCCGACGAAGTTTTAAGGTCTTCTTTGCTATTGGACAGATTTGCTCTACTGGGTCCTAGAGAAAGTCTCTGTTGAATATTTCCACCAGTTGAAACCGAACTCAAAGTAGTTCGACGCATGGTTCGGATGCCACACCTTCAAACAAGAAACGTTTACTGAATTTAGGAGTTGGAAATTTGGCGGGCTTGGATTTGAAATGAATGAATTCTTGAGACCGAGCTTTTAGATATATTCTTGAAGTCTTCTTATAATAGAAAACGTCTAACTGTCACTTTGTTCACTCTTGGAAGGAAACGAATACAATTTTTGTCGTTCTTTATTGTATAGTTGAGGTAAAATAAACTTGTAACTCTCATTTTCCATTTAAATCAGAGGCTTTCTTTTTGGTTCGTTCCAAAGAGAAAAATGAGATTCTAACTTGCCTTGACGTAGTCAAGATGGGCTTAGCGAGCAAACTTTACTTAAGAGACACCGTCAAAGTTTGAACTCTATGAAATCTCTTGTTAGCATTTGTAGAATACCGGAATGTCAGAATGAAGAAAGAAGAGTTCCGGTAGAATACCTTTTTTGATTTTCCACAATGCCTAAGTTTGTCGACATTGCTCACCTCACATATTGTGAGAGGACTGCGAAAGCCTTAAAGTTTGAGCTTAGCTAGAGATGCAGAGCACATTTAGGACGCAAAGGATGAAGAACTCAAGCAAAACTTAGCCACAAATACAACAGCGTAGATCCGATATGAAAAAAATAGTTGCTATAATTATCTTGCCAGTTCCTGTGCACTAAAAAATGTGTCATAGGTTCCATCACAGATATCACATAGAGAACCTCCAAAGACACCAAAGAAAAAAATCAATATCCTTCAATGTTTTATGAAAGCAGCCTTGTAGTCCTTGACACCATGAAGAATCTGGTTCGTATCAGAAACAGCTTAAGGACCTCAAGGCAAAGTGTCTATCTTGTAACCAGCATTCAGTGCTAAAAAAAAGGTATGCCGCTAAAATAGTTGCAACCACGTTTCCGATGCAGTACTGATAATGAAGCTTTTCTTACATATTCACCCATAAAAGTGTATGGAACAACTGTAGAGAACCAAAAAGGAACTTCAATAGAAAAATCATAGTTGAAACAGTTTTGCAGCACAAAAAAATAGAGCAAAATGTCAAAAAGAATACTGCAAAATTCGAAAGAGTGACTTGAGAAGAAACAGAAATTGTTTTACTAATCTAAAGAAGAGCTTCAGAATCAACGTAAATAGCATCGCCTTTAGATGCTCATTTCATTGAAAAAATCAAAAAAAAATTAAGCATAAATAATATGACCTTGGCTATGACCAAATAACCAGTGAGACAGACAAATTAATACCAACAGTAAAGTTAATTGTAGAAAACAAAAAAAAATTTAAAACAAACTAATAAAATTTTTACACTGCGACTATAGCTTTCTCATCAAAAATAGGAATTATTTTTTATTGAAAAATAGTGTGACACGTTAGAAATAATGTTTCCATGGTAAGAATTTAGATGCATTCATTGTCTTGATTTCGATTTACAAGCTACAATTTTTTAAAAAAATGTTTCTAATTCATGTGATGAAAACCTCATCAATTTAAATATACTTTTAGACAATATTAATCTAATCGAACGTTAATAGCACGCTCGGCTTATTCTTTATTAATTTGGAAAAAATTAAGATGTAAGTCCACGATTGCGTTAAAAAGTCAAAAAGAAAATAATGTGTCTTAAGAGGTGTTAAAATACGTTCTGGATTATTTTTATATTATTAGGTTCGCAACAGGAATTATTTCAAAGTAAAACAGGTTAAATTTTCTAGAGGATAATTTGTATCACTGAGGAAATAAGTTTAATTATTTGAATAATTCTTGCTTTAGAATTTCTTCTTGTAAATATACCTGTTTAGCCCTTTTCATGGTTCTCGTCAACATTAAGGTCATTTTTTGAGGAATTTCTTGTAATTGCAACATTTCCAGAAAGTATCTTTTCAAACTTGGATCCTTTGATATAATTTGCTTGTCTTTATTTCTGTAAACAAGCTATCAAAATGTGTAGTTTTGCGAGAAGTAGACAGTGTACCAAAGTCCATGAAGAAACAGCGAAACCCAAGTAACCAATCATCATATCGATTGCCTTAAATGGATGCAGTTTTTTACGGCTTCGACATTTACTTATAATAGATTAACCTCCTTTTGCCATCTTTGTTCAAGCCAACATAATTTCAAGTTTCAGATGGGATGTCAAAGAAACCATTTTCCGAAAGGAGCAGTTACGACTCTGTTGAACAAGTCGTATTCAAAATTTACGGCTATGTTTGTTCTACTTACTGACGAGTTGCTGTTAAGGACATCCTTGGACGGCTTTCACTTCATCTCTTGTTCACAGTAGATTTTTCAAGCCTATTTTCAAGGTCTGACCACCAAATGGGGAGAGATGCCAATCTACAGATATACACACATAGAACAACCCAAGGCTTTCAAAACGCATAGTCTCCACTCAATCTAATCTACGTAAATTTCTAGTACAATAAAGTTTAGCAGTTCATCTACTCCTTCCTACAAGTACAATAAATACTGCTTCAAGAGACACACTACCACTGATGGTCCCTTCCTTGGCAGAACTAAGTGAGCAGTCGGCGTTGAAATCTACGGCAAGGATTAAGAATTCTGGCAAGGGCTAAGAGAGCGTTGACGACACGCCAAGTTAGTTTGTCATTTTATCGAACAGTTCCTAGAGTTGAGAGACTTTGGAGCTTAAGCTCTCGTGTAATTAAGTTTTCGGACAAGATTGGTTCACAGTCACGGTTTCTCCATTTCCTTGACCCCACCCCAGAAACGTCTCGTTATCGAGTTAGTCCAACGGGACGTCAAAGGGCTGATGCAGGTCCAGTGATGACAACTGCGAAAGTCTATGCCGATGTCAATTTAAAGAGACCGAAGGAATACTGGGACTATGAAAACTTTAATATTCACTGGAGGTAGGTCTCTTACTGAAGCCTTTGTCGTTGTTGTTTCATAGGAGCTTTAGTGACTGCGACCGATACGAAATTGTAAAGAAAATAGGCAGAGGAAAGTATAGTGAAGTTTTTAGGGGAGTGGATGTTATGGAGAATAAACCCTGTGTGATAAAGGTAAGTTTTTGAAGTTTGTCGATTGAGGACAAATGAAAGATTTTTGTAGGTCCTGAAACCCGTAAAGAAAAAGAAAATCAAAAGGGAAATTAAAATATTGCAAAACTTGAAAGGCGGTCCTAATATAGTTCAGTTATGGGATGTTTGTAAGGATCCCATTTCGAAGACTCCCAGTCTTATATTTGAACATGTGAAGAATACTGACTTTAAGACACTTTATCCTACATTTAGTCTTTACGATGTGAAGTATTATGTGTTTGAGATTCTAAAAGCTTTGGACTTTAGTCATTCCAATGGTATTATGCACAGAGATGTGAAACCTCACAATGTTATGATCAATCACGAGACGAAGCAGTTGCGTTTGATTGATTGGGGACTTGCAGAGTTTTACCATCCTCAGAAAGAATACAACGTTCGAGTTGCTTCCAGATACTTTAAAGGCCCTGAGCTACTAGTCGACTATCAAAGTTATGATTATTCTTTGGATATTTGGAGTCTTGGCTGTATGTTAGCTGGCATCATATTTCGGAAGGAACCTTTTTTCCTCGGTCACGATAATCAAAATCAACTGGTAAAGATAGCGAAGATATTGGGTACTGCTGATTTATACGCCTATCTTGATAAGTATTGCATTCGAATTGAACCCGGTTTTATGCAAGCGATAGGATGGCATGAGCGAAAGCCGTGGAAAGATTTGATATCCAATGAAAACTGTAATCTGATATGCGAAGAGGGAATCGATCTACTTGACAAGATGCTTCGTTATGATCATGCTGAGAGAATAACTGCAAAGGAAGCTATGGATCACCCGTTTTTTGATGAAATCAGAAAGAAAAGCTTCTCGAAAGACGAAAATATTTCTATGAATAGTGATAGTACTAATAATGCCATGAACACTGAACTTTGCTGAAGTCATTACGGAAGTTTCTTTGCTGAATAAAAAGAGCAACTTGAAATTTGTGTAATATATATAACATGTTTACTTTCATAGAATAGAATGGAAAAATGTCTTTCAAAGGAATTGCAATTCGAGACTAATATCCAAACCCAGATTGATGAGACAGCTGTCCCAACTGGGAGGAGGGATAGGATTTGAAAATTTTAGTTTTGGCGCACTTCATCTTTCGATGGCGAAGTCCGTATCTATCAACAATCGTCAAAGAACAAGACAACAGCGTAGTTCCTCTCGTATTGGAATCGGTAAAGTTTCCAAAACCAAGTCTCAGACAAGGACCCAGCAACAAGTAAAAACAACTTCTCGAAACAGACCCCAACGGAGACAGCCATCCCAAGTTGCCGATGCTGGACGTAAGAGAAGAAAGGAACTGACAAAAGAGCAAAGCAGTAAGAAAACCTCCAACGTAAACATCCAGAACTCCATAATCGATGACAGCTCCTGTATACTTGCTGCAGCTTTGGATGGAGAACAACCAGTTGTGGAAAAAGAGGAACAATGTACAGAACATGTGGACCAAGCAGATGCAGCAGATGATATTCCAGAATATTTTAAAACAGAATTTAACAAGATCGATTGCAACAAAGAGAACCAAGTTGTTAGAATACCAGAAAACTTTCAAGCACAGGTTCTGTCTTTAGAAGAAGAGTTTGCAGAGGAAAGAAGAAAATTGAGAGACAAGTATAGTTCTCAGTTTGAAAGATGGTTTGAAATTCTCCAAGAGTTTAATATTTTGTGCTACGGAAACGGCTCGAAACGGAATGTATTGAATGAGTTTGCGGAACACTGCAAACAAAGATCAAGTACCGTGGTTGTTCATGGATACCACACACTTTTCTCTTTGAAAGAACTTCTTGTTAAGATTGAAAAGGAGATTCTCCAACTGCCAATAGAGATATCTAATAGGCGAACTCCAGCAGAACAAGTAAGGAGCATTGAAAAGCACTTGGCCAAGGACTCTTTTCCTAGCTCTATATTTGTGATAGTCCATAGCATAGATGGTCCCAAAATGCAGTCTTCGGAAATCCAAGAAATTTTAAGCCATATTGCATGCATCCCGAAGATCAATTTGGTTGCATCCATCGATCATTTCAATGCTGCTATGTTATGGAATCGAAATGTATATCAACGCTTGAATTGGTATTGGGAACAAGTGGTAACAGAAGACTCATACTTGTATGAAATTTCTGATACATCGTTTCTTACAAACGGCGAAGGAGATGAAAGCCGAGTAAAAGCTGCTGTTTTGTTGTTTAGCACACTTACCAAAAACGCTCATCAAATTTTCCTGGAACTTGCTGCTTTGTTGGAAAAGTCGAAAGAAAGTAAGTTATCTCATACAAAAAGGATGGCCAAGGCGAGAGGTGTTGAAACAGGAGTGGGTTTGCATTCATTTTATGAGCACTGTCGTAAAAAGTTTCTTGTGAGCAATCCAAATAGTCTCAAGTCTATTCTAAAGGAACTTAAGGACCATGAACTTATCAGTATAACAAGTAGCTCTACATCAGCGGAAACTATTCAAATTGAACTGAAGCCAAAACAATTGGAGGCTGTTATTTCTATATTGCAAGGAGAAGGGGCTAAGAATCGATAACGTTTTCTTCTTGTTGTTGTACAGTCATAGCAGATTTTTTTTGGAGTCAAGTGCTTTGAATACATACCTCTTTTGAGTATATGGATGATGGTTTTAAAATAAGGTTTTCATTTGAGTAATAAGTAGAAAATAAGCAATTATGTATATCAACATTACACCATCAGAGAAGTATGGACCTCAACTTGAATATGATAAAATATACAGAGTTTCTTATTTTGGTTTTACTCTATGAATAAGCATTGGCCAAAGAGAGCTTTCCATACCAAAGAAATTTCAGCCCCTTGTATAATTAAAAAAGAGATATTATTAAAAAAAGAATCACAAATAAGTATACTATAGTTCCTTAAACAAGAATGTGACGTTGAGGACCATCTTAATCTTTAAAGGGGACATTGGACATCCCTTTGGGACTTTGGAATTGTTTCATTTTGACCACAAGTGTCATATTTCGAATTGAGACATTTTGAAAGGAATGAGAACTTGAGACACTTTTCATTGGTTCATTGAAGCCTAGGAAACATGAAACAAAGAGAAAGATGGAGAAGTGGTTCCCCAGTTACAAAGAATAGCACTTTGGATAGAAGAGTCTCTAGTAAAGGTGCCAGCGACCAAAAAAGAAGACTGTCAAACTCCTCATACAGCACTAGTCGCGCCGACTTATCATATCCCTGGTTTAGCGTTGCTACATTTTCGTTATTTGCTTTTCTAGTATATTCCTTGGGATACTGGGGTTGGTCTCATGAACCTGCCATTGTGAAAGCTACTAGCCCAAATAGCGAATTTTCAGCTGAACGTGCTTTTGCCACCGTTCAAGTGCTTGCAGACGAAATTGGATTCAGAGTAGTAGGTACAAAAGGACTAGAAAGTGCCCAAGAGTATACTTTACAGCAACTAGAACTTTTATCTAGAGAAGCAAGGCGTAGAGGTTTTTCTCTTGAAGTGGAAGTACAGAAAGTTAGTGGCAACTATGATGTTAAACTGCCTGCTCTTGGAGAAGTCACTATTTCAACGTCATATACAAATATCAAAAATATAGTGGCACGATTATCCGGCCCTGCTTGCGAACGTTGGATAGATAACCATTCTTGTTCTATGACAGATAACAACTTTCTAGCAGAAAATGCGAACTGTACTCAACCTCTATCTTTACTGGTCAACAGCCACTTGGATTCTGCTGTAGGGTCTCCTGGAGCCTCAGATGCTGCTGCACCTTGTGGTGTTATTTTGGAACTGATAAACAATCTGATTCATATGCAGCCAGCTCATTTACGTCGTCCGATTGTGTTTCTTTTGAATGGTGCGGAAGAAACACTTCTTGATGGAGCACATGGATTTTTAACGAAACATAGATGGAGTCGAAATGTAGGAGCCTTGGTCAATCTTGAGAGTAGCGGTTCTGGAGGCTTAGAGTTGTTGTTTCGATGTGGTCCGCGGAATGCTTGGCTTGCAAAGGCATATGCAAAAAGTGTCAAGTACCCTCACGCTTCTGCTGTGGCTCAAGATATTTTTGAACGTGAACTGGTTCCTGCAGAAACAGATTTTCGTGTATTTTGGGAACTGGGTGGAATTCCTGGAGTAGACTTGGCCAATTACGTGAATGGACAGGTAAATAATGATAAGTGATTATATCAAAATAGTTATAACAATGGCTCGTAGACTTATCACACCAGTAGAGATGCTGTGGATAGAGTTACTTCAGGCTTTCTTCAACATATGGGTTCCAATGCTTTGGAGATAATAAAGGAACTGGTTGGACCCCACGATGCTTTGGGAAAGTCTAAGACTTCAGATTCTTATCTTTGGAATAAGGTATGATAAGGCTTTTGCATTTTATTTTTATAGGAAACTTATGTATATTGTTATGGTTGACGACAGAGAGCCATGTATTATGATTTTCTAGGCTTAACCACATTTTTCTATCTTTATGATTATGCAAAAATATTTCATTATTCATTGTCCATTTTGGCGTTATTTTATGTTATCTATATTCTTCCTAGGCGAGGATGTTCACTAGGTCTGGTCTTTAGAGCATTCTGCAGTCTTCTTTTAGGTCTTGTTGCTTCTGTTTGTGTAGCAATATTGGTCGGATTGTTTTTACATTTTATATGGAGGAAGCCATTGATGTGGTACTCTGAAAAGAGTTTAGTGTTTCCACTGTTTTGTGCTTCTGCTGCCTTTGTATTTTTGACTGGCTTTGAACTATTTTTATCTCGACGTTATCAATGGAACATTACACCCGTACGTTATAAAGCAAATAGATGGTATTGGCTTATTCCAAAGGTGAATGATTTTGCAACCTTTACTGCTGAAATTATTTTGGGAAGCTTTATTCTATTTCAAATGACCGTCCTAATAGTGACTACTTATTTTGAACTCGGGTTTTCCTTTATGCCATTTTGGAATCTGGTTTTTGCAGTCGTTGTGGGTGTGATGGGTTTAGATGAAGAGAGCTCTTGGTTATTTCGCTGTTGTCTTCTTGTTATTCCATGCGGTATATTTAGTTTCCCTAATTCTTTAATAGGTTTATCTGCATTTATGCCGATTATGGGACGTTCAGGTCCTTGGTTACTTACAGATGTTATTATTGGAGCCATGTCTAGTTCTTTCTTTATTCTTGTTAGTCTTCCTGTTGTGGTATTTCTGACCAAATATCGCAATGCATATCGAATGTTTCGTTTTATAATGCTGGTGACCTTTCTTATCGGTATTTTAAGAGTTGCTTTGATGTCACATCCTTATTGTGGAGACTCGGCTCCCAAACGTATAGTTATTCAACATCTAGTGACTTGTGATTCCAATGAAAAGTCCTCTGGAATTTTCATGTCTGCTGTAGATATTCGTGACTTGAAGACTGAAAAGAATTTGCTTCATCGAGTGTTGTCTTCAACAGATATTCCTCCTCTAGCATCTCATTTTCATTGGGGTCTATTAGAAAGTGGACCTTGGGAGAATCTTCAACCCATCTCCTGGTTCTTTTCAGGGTATGAAATAAGTAGACCAGTAGCATCACATAGTATACCCTGTCCTCAACTTGAGATTGTACGTAAAGTACCTCTTGCCAATGGTACTGGAAACTTGGTAGAATTGTTGGCTTCATTTCCTTCGAGTCACTGGGGAAGTCTTCGATTGAATGCGTCACTCGTTTCCTGGTCACTTTCAGAATCTGTTCCAAAGCCTTTTTCTGATGGCACTCGATTTCTTCGGCACATTGGAAGTTATGAAGAAACCTCATTTCGTATTGTATTGAATACGAGTACGAATGAGCCTTTTGCAGTTGATATGACGTCCACCTATTTTGGTGCGTCACCCGAAACATTGGATATCATTCAGCGTCTACCTGATTGGACAGACGCTGTTACATTTCAAACGAGTGGAATAAGTTTTTTAATAGGTTAGAGTTTGTAGATATATTCTGAATGTTTTGCATTTGCAAGAATAGTCGCCTGTCTCATGAACCCCACATTTGCTAAAGAAGGGAATGTGGTGATGATTGTTGACTTGGAGAATAAAATAGGAATCTCAAATGAAAGCCTTTGAAGCCGGACTTAAGAAACGTTCAACTGAGAAGTCAACGTCTGAGTGGAAAGAACCAAAGGACTCAAGTCGTCGAACCAATAGAGAGTTGACACAGTGGAGTGGAACAAAGCAGTGGTTTCACGTTAGTTTCATATTATTAATTAGTTCTTTTCTGGTATGGTTGAGTTATTGGGGTTGGAGTCATGAGCCTCGCGTCGTACCAGATA